TCATGCACTGTATTTAAATCACTGTTATTCTGCAAGATGTCCTGTGACGAAGAAATCACTATATTACTTACTCTCTAAAAATGTCATAGCAAAAAAATAATAATAATTCTCGTCAACAGCAATTTGTATCCAGGACATTTAGCAGTCAATTCCTATGAATCCGAAAATGTCGTCAAAAGTTATAAAAGTAGAACAGTTTTTGAAATACATATAATATGAAATTGACTATATCTCAAAAACTGCTTAACTTTTATACTTTTTGACGGTCTTTTTGGATTCAGGGGACAACTTTACAAAAGAATTGGCTAGTAAATGTCCGGGATATCAAAAGAGTATGATATTGGACATATGTCCAATAATAGAAATTTACATTTTTTACCAACCAGTAATTGGACACTGGCCATTTTACTGTTTGTTTTCAGAATTAAAATTATACACTTTTTAGAAATACTTTTTATTGTAATTTAAACACAGCCCTGCTCTTAACAAAAAGAACAACAATCTTACCACCAAAGGAAGTAGTAGTATTGTTAATTTCTTTATAATAGATCTAGTTGGCAAGCTATCTAGCTAGACATGACTAGATAATATCTAGCATCTTATCTGAATGGACTTGCATTGAGTTTTAGAAAATAAAATAAAATAAAAATACGTCGTAACTTCATCTTAAAAAGCCCTTCGAATTTGGGTTATTAAAGTGTCGAAAAAAGGCGCGGAACGTGTAAGAGAATTCTGTGCGACTAGCCCAACTCAAGCCACAGTAACCGAGGATGACGGTCGACAGAGTCGACACGAGGAAGAAGAGACAAAGAAGGAGGAAGAGAACGAGGCGCGGGGGACAGCAGAAGAAGAAGAAAAGGAAGAAGACCCGAGAGTGCGATTGCAAGCTGGGGAGGCGGTGCATGGGGCAGTGTTGCCGTCTCTACGGACCGTCCGTAGATCTACGGCTGAGATATTTTTCGGTGTACACGAATTTAACTGTTTGAAATTTTTACAACTACCACAAATTTTTCATTTCAAGCTCTTGCCGATACCAAAGTGTGTCAGGATGATGGATATTTACTAGCAGAAACAACCACAGCTGGAATGATGAATATGGAAGCTACAATGTTTAGAAAACACCAGCAAAAGTTTTCGGTTAATATGGACTGATATTATTGCAGATAAACTATTTGGACCATCAATTTCCCATTTGATGGATTGTACCAGATTTAACCCACTAGAATTTTGCTGGGAAAGTTACTTCTGAAAAGTATCTAGATACTTAGATATTTTAAACAAAATAACTTAGTTACCTCTGGGAACTAGATACTTTGAGTTAAAAGTATCTTTAGTTACAAGGTACTTTAAAAAGTATCTAAGATACTATCCGGAAGTATCTAAGATACTATATGGAAGTAACTAAGATACTTTTAAGTAACTAAGATACTTTTGTGTAACTAAGTTACTTTCAAGTTTGAAAAAAAACTATAAAATCAAAAAATTCAACAAGTTGTAGGTTAGGTAATTACTTTGAATCATTCTGGAATTCCCCCAATTTTCTCTAAGAAAGTATCCACGTTACACTGAAAAGTATCTAAGTTGCTTTAAAAAGTATCTTAGTTACTTTAAAAAGTATCATAGTTACTTTAAAGTATCTAAGTTACTTGAATGTATCTTAGTTACTTTACCGAGTAATTTGGATACTTTTTAAGATACTGGTTACAAGATACTTTTCCAAAGTAACCAAGTTAAAGATACTTTCTGTCCAATATAAAAAGTATCTAAGATAAAGTATCTTAAAGACTTTTCAGTAACTAAGTTACTTTTAAGTTTGAATAAAAACTATAAAATTATAAAAATTTAGTTACCTCTGGTAACTAGATACTTTGAGTTAAAAGTATCTTTAGTTACAAGGTACTTTAAAAAGTATCTAAGATACAATGCGAAAGTATCTAAGATACTATATGAAAGTAACTAAGATACTTGTAAGTAACTAAGATACTTTTGAGTAACTAGTTACTTTCAAGTTTGAATAAAAACTATAAAATTATATAAATTCAACAAGTTGTAGGTTAGGTAATTACTTTGAATCATTCTGGAATTCCCCCAATTTTCTCTAAGAAAGAATCTAAGTTACACTGAAAAGTATCTAAGTTATTTTAAAAAGTATCTTAGTTACTTTAAAAAGTATCTTAGTTACTTTAAAGTATCTAAGTTACTTGAATGTATCTTAGTTACTTTACCGAGTAATTTGGATACTTTTTAAGATACTAGTTACAAGATACTTTTCCAAAGTAACCAAGTTAAAGATACTTTCTGTCCAATATAAAAAGTATCTAAGATAAAGTATCTTAAAGACTTTTGAGTATCCAAGATTCTTTTCAGTAACTAAGTTACTTTTAAGTTTGAATAAAAACTATAAAATTATAAAAATTTAGTTACCTCTGGTAACTAGATACTTTGAGTTAAAAGTATCTTTAGTTACAAGGTACTTTAAAAAGTATCTAAGATACTATCCGAAAGTATCTAAGATACTATATGGAAGTAACTAAGACACTTTTAAGTAACTAAGATACTTTTTAGTAACCAAGTTACTTTTAAGTTTGAATAAAACTATAAAATTATAAAAATTCAACAAGTTGCAGGTTAGGTAATTACTTTGAATCATTCTGGAATTCCCCCAATTTTCTCTAAGAAAGTATATAAGTTACACTGAAAACTATCTAAGTTATTTTAAAAAGTATCTTAGTTACTTTAAAAAGTATCTTAGTTACTTTAAAGTATCTAAGTTACTTGAATGTATCTTAGTTACTTTACCGAGTAATTTGGATACTTTTTAAGATACTAGTTACAAGATACTTTTCCAAAGTAACCAAATTAAAGATACTTTCTGTCCAATATAAAAAGTATCTAAGATAAAGTATCTTAAAGACTTTTGAGTAACCAAGATACTTTTCAGTAACTAAGTTACTTTTAAGTTTGAATAAAACTATAAAATTATAAAAATTCAACAAGTTGCAGGTTAGGTAATTACTTTGAATTATTCTGGAATTCCCCCAATTTTCTCTAAGAAAGTATATAAGTTACACTGAAAAGTATCTAAGTTATTTTAAAAAGTATCTTAGTTACTTTAAAAAGTATCTTAGTTACTTTAAAGTATCTAAGTTACTTGAATGTATCTTAGTTACTTTACCGAGTAATTTGGATACTTTTTAAGATACTAGTTACAAGATACTTTTCCAAAGTAACCAAGTTAAAGATACTTTCTGTCCAATATAAAAACTATCTAAGATAAAGTATCTTAAAGACTTTTGAGTAACCAAGATACTTTTCAGTAACTAAGTTACTTTTAAGTTTGAATAGAAACTATAAAATTATAAAAATTTAGTTAACTCTGGTAACTAGATACTTTGAGTTAAAAGTATCTTTAGTTACAAGGTACTTTAAAAAGTATCTAAGATACTATCCGAAAGCATCTAAGATACTATATGAAAGTAACTAAGATACTTTTAAGTAACTAAGATACTTTTTAGTAACCAAGTTACTTTTAAGTTTGAATAAAACTATAAAATTATAAAAATTCAACAAGTTGCAGGTTAGGTAATTACTTTGAATCATTCTGGAATTCCCCCAATTTTCTCTAAGAAAGTATATAAGTTACACTGAAAACTATCTAAGTTATTTTAAAAAGTATCTTAGTTACTTTAAAAAGTATCTTAGTTACTTTAAAGTATCTAAGTTACTTGAATGTATCTTAGTTACTTTACCGAGTAATTTGGATACTTTTTAAGATACTAGTTACAAGATACTTTTCCAAAGTAACCAAATTAAAGATACTTTCTGTCCAATATAAAAAGTATCTAAGATAAAGTATCTTAAAGACTTTTGAGTAACCAAGATACTTTTCAGTAACTAAGTTACTTTTAAGTTTGAATAAAACTATAAAATTATAAAAATTCAACAAGTTGCAGGTTAGGTAATTACTTTGAATTATTCTGGAATTCCCCCAATTTTCTCTAAGAAAGTATATAAGTTACACTGAAAAGTATCTAAGTTATTTTAAAAAGTATCTTAGTTACTTTAAAAAGTATCTTAGTTACTTTAAAGTATCTAAGTTACTTGAATGTATCTTAGTTACTTTACCGAGTAATTTGGATACTTTTTAAGATACTAGTTACAAGATACTTTTCCAAAGTAACCAAGTTAAAGATACTTTCTGTCCAATATAAAAACTATCTAAGATAAAGTATCTTAAAGACTTTTGAGTAACCAAGATACTTTTCAGTAACTAAGTTACTTTTAAGTTTGAATAGAAACTATAAAATTATAAAAATTTAGTTAACTCTGGTAACTAGATACTTTGAGTTAAAAGTATCTTTAGTTACAAGGTACTTTAAAAAGTATCTAAGATACTATCCGAAAGCATCTAAGATACTATATGAAAGTAACTAAGATACTTTTAAGTAACTAAGATATTTTTGAGTAACCAAGTTACTTTTAAGTTTGAATTAAAACTATAAAATTATAAAAATTCAACAAGTTGTAGGTTGGGTAATTACTTTGAATCATTCTGGAATTCCCCCAATTTTCTCTAAGAGAGTATCTATGTTGCACTGAAAAGTATCTAAGTTATTTTAAAAAGTATATTAGTTACTTTAAAAAGTATCTTAGTTACTTTAAAATATCTAAGTTAGTTGAATGTATCTAAGTTACTTTACCGAGTAACTCAGATACTTTTTAAGATACAAGTTACAAGACATTTTTCCAAAGTAACTAAGTTTAGGATACTTTTTGACCAATATAAAAAGTATCTAAGATAAACTATCTTAGATACTTTAAGTATCTATGTTACTTTCAAGTATCTTTTTTTTGAAGATACTCTCAGCTCCGTTAACGAAGCAAAATATCAAAGACACCTTAGGATTTGGTTGCTGTTGTGGCAACACTGTCGCGGGGGGCAGCGTCGCGGGGCCGGCGCCCCGAATGCGTTGCCGCCGCGGAGGGGGGGAGCGGGGGCGACCGAGACTCGAACCGTCCCGACACACACTGCACTCAGACCGCGTACAGACAGTTCGCCGGCAAAGTCAATGAGAGCCGGGTCAGGTAAACCACCGACACCGCTGGACTGACTGAAATTTTTTAGCAAAAACACCGAATAAAACACCGCTGTAATTCGCCGCCCCCCCAAGTGTCCCACCCCCGAAAAACAGTGTCCCACTCGCGAGTTGTCAAATTCAGACACGTGCAACTTTATCTATCAGTGAGCTGTGAATATATCGCCATTTTGGACCTGCTAAGGACTTCCTTGTGTCCCAGTGTGTTTCAGTTCGATAACAATCCTATTTTCGCAAGGCGAAGGACTAAACCTTCACCGTAGCTTAGTTTAGTGCCTCCTACTAGAACTATCACTTACCGGGTCTCTGCGTTCAAACGCATTGCATAACCAATGACAGAAAGGTACAAACTTATTATTATTATCCTGCATGACATCCCTAAAGTTTACTCTCAAGTATATCAAGTTACAGTCTGAATTTAACATATTTTTATCAATTGTGTCCTTGAATTTTAAGGATTTGACAGGAAGCAACTTAAGACAATCCTACTCTCTAAAAATGAAACTGATTGACAATGCATATTAACTATTTGCCGCAGTGATAAGTACAGGGCTCCCACACCTCCTAAAATTCATAAAATTCTCAAAATTTGGCTTAAATCTTAAAAACTCCTAAAATTGCCATCAATCTCCTAAAACTCCTAAAAATTAAATATAAGTAGGCCAACTTGACTGCGTTTAATTAAGGTAGTTGTGAAAAAAAATTTCTTTTAAAGTAATTTAAAAAATATATATTTTTGGGTTCTAAGTAGTTTATTAAATTCTTTTTAAAATGATTAGGTATCATAACCTACATTTTTCTTAAAAAACAACAAAATATACCAAAAAATCCATGTAGTAGCTTCTAGACTTCTACAAAATTGTCATTTTTAGCCATATTTCGATAAAATATATCGTGTAGGAAAAGGATTTTTAATTTTCTTTTAAATGATAGCTAAAATAGTAAACAATCTAAAGAATGTTTTGCTGTACATGCCCTTTATATTTTTTCTATTATGAGATTTTTTAGTAACAATAACATTACAATTATTGTTAGTTATTAACTAAACTGTTAAATTTTTTTCTTCAGAATATAAATATAACATCATACGCTTTTTTTTTTAAATAAAATTAAAAGTGGGGTGAAATTTATTATTATTATTTACTTGTAGATATATACAAAAGTAGTAATTTTACCTCACTTTTCATTTTATTAAAAAAAACTCGTCTAGCGATTTGGCTAAAAAACTAGTCAATATAACCTATTTGTACAAAAGAAGTGATATTTATTTATATTTTTGTTAAAAAGAATTACTTGTTTTTTTCTTATTTTTTAAGTATAGTGTAGAGTTGTTTTTATTTAATTAAATAAATTCATTTGCATACTTTTTTCTCATAAAATTCTCCAAAAAATCTCCTAAATTCCTAAATAAAGTTTGTAATTTAACCGTGGGAGCCCTGTAAGTATACCACTAGCAATTAGAGAAATCCTCACTTTTTCATGTAGCGATTTCTTTGCACTAATTTATTTAGTGGAAAAAAAAGTTAAAATTTCACTATTTTATTTCGAGAGTTCCGGAAAAGTAGTGATAATAAAAAACACTAATTTGGAAAAGTTTAAATTTCACTAATTTATATTGAAAAACACTAATTTTACACTAAATAACGGAAATAGTGAAAATTTCACTGTTTCACTTTTAGAGAGTAGATAGTCAAAATTGGAGAAAAAGTCCCAATTGAAAATTGTAACCCAACTATAACAATCCAACAAGCAACATGACCATGACATCCAATAATTTAAACTTTCGCTATAGCAAAATAGTTATTTGCAAATATTTCGGCAATGAAAGCAATTATTCGCATATATTTCATTGGAAGGGGGCTAGGCCTAATTCTACTAATTCGCCTTGAATAGTATAACCTTAAATTTCGCAACGTTTCATACAATGCACGAATGTTTTTTAATTTAGTTTTATTTCTTGAAAGTTTAATTGGTTTTTTAGCTAATTTTAACTGTGTTATTGGTATTTTTAAATTGCTAAAAATTACACTGTTACAACAGCAACTTTATTTATTATTCAAAAATGATAATCATATTGCTAAATTAACTCTTGTTTTCGAGATATTGTAAAAAATCTGTTTTTTCGATATTCAAACATTCAAATTCGTTTATATATTTTTTAATCAAATACTTAAACCAAGGATCAATGTTTATGTAGCTATAAGTCCTAATTAAACAAAAAAAATAATTATACACTATTCAGTAACCACCTTAAAAATTCTATTTTTAACGAAATTAATTAGATTATTAGCAAAAATTCGACAATTTTCAGTTCAAAGTACAGTTTAACAATTTTAGTCCGATTTTATTGAAACTTACAACACTGATAGCTTTTTTTATCTACTTAAATGTGTTAAAATTTTAACTCAACCTGGTATATTAAAGAGCTAATGTCAAGACGTCATTTTGTCGCAAAAATTCTATAAAAAAAATTAATTTTATATATTAATTTATGGTATCACAGTCATTGGTTTTACAGTTAATGTCAAAATCGATTCGCCATGCCGTCCTTAATTTACTTATTTACCATAAGCGGCTGTTAATGTTAAAGAAGAAAAAAAGGATTTTCTTTGGTGTTAAACAAAATTTATTGCCAGAAAAGTCTCTTAATTACTAGAGAAATCATAAAAATATTATAACCAATATGCAAAATATTATGCTGTTTAAAGTATAGCCAACCTATAAAATCCAAATTGGGTGGGATAAAGTATCTCATTACAGCACCGAAAGCTGTGTTTAATGAAGTCACTATGAACGCAAAATAGATAAAAATATTTTTTTAATCTATTTCATACATTTTATCTGTATTCTTTTATTATTTAATAATATTAATTTCATTATTTTTCAGTTTTTTTTTAATTTTCTTTAGATTTAATTAACAATTTTTTAACTACAACATTTTTTTATTTTTGCATACATTTCAATAAAAATCATACACCTGTATTTTTGTTAACATATTTGAAATAGCGTTTTGTTTTTTACTATATTTTTGTAAAACTTTTTCGTAAATTTTATCTACAATCATAATTTTTAAATTTAAGTGTTAGGATTACCAAAAATAAAGACGATATCTTTATATTATGTTTTTAAGATTTATTATTATAACAAGGTAATGTTCTATTATACAGAGTGTTCTTAAAACAGGTGGTTACTTTGAGTATGACCAAAATATAATTCAGTTTTAGAGGTATTGGACTTTTTAGTTTAGAAATGATAAATGAATTAATTAATACTTTTTTAGTTCGCACACACTATCCGCCAATTTTTCGCCACGCAAAGATTCACGCACCAAAGTTGCGGATTTTGAAGAGGTTAATGACTTACTTGAGCGTTGGATATTATAACATGTATATACATTGTTAGAATATAAGAAGTTGCCTGTTTGTATTAGGCACACTTTTTTTTGGTAGTAGCCATTGAATTGCAAATTTTTTCCGGTTGGTTTTGATACGCAGAAATAGTTCATGATTAAGAACGGTGATTTATAAATTTTGATAGATATTTTTCTATTTTTATGGTTATTATACTAGTTAAAAGTTAATCGTTTTTTGATAAAGTTTTATCAATTTTTCTATCCAAGCGAAAAAAGTTATCTTTTAAACAAAAAACCATTGTCAAGAATATTAAGGATACTACTTTTTGACTTCAAATTGTTCTTCTTTTGTTTTTTTTGTTTTGTAGTTTAAGGTTTGTTTAATCTTTGCCGAACTTAAAATGTTTTTGTTAAATTTATAGATGTGTATACATATATGAATTGCGCTTACATAAAGTAATGCGCAGTTGTTATAGTAAAATTTCTTCATTTTGGGACTATGGCATATTTGTCTTTTTTAAATTACTATCTTTGTAATTCAAATTAATTTTATTTCAGTTAGAAAATCTTTGTCAATAGCTTACGTTAAGAACAATCAAAAATATGTTATTGCTATAAAAAGACTATTTTAATATTTGCTATTGTTTTGCAATGGTAACAAAATTGTTGTTATTTCCCTTAAAAAGAGGGGGAAAGGGCTCTCCTTGGCGAACATACCTTTATAATCCACAGTCTGTGTTATAATCTTATTGATTTCACTTGTGGTAAAATCTAGCATGATAAAAATATCAAAAAGATCACTATGAAAATTAAAATTTCGACGTTTTCTAAAAGAAATATTTAAGGTCTTTCCATAAACGAAGCAGACTTGTTGTTTAAAACGCGAGTTCATATTTTTTTATTTTGTACATTAAATAATATGAGTTAATTTTTTTGTTATAATAAATAATTAACTCATACCCCAACAGTAGGTTAAAATGTGACCATGAAAATAGTTTGAATTAACAATTAATTTGTAAAATTTACAAAGTTTCTATGAAAAATACCATTAGGGTTTCATTAATACTACAAAACGTTTTTGTAAACGGTATAGAACTGTTTTTTTGACAAATAATAATAACTATCAATGCGTTTCTGCATCTGGAAGAGTTTTATTTTTATAAAGTAGAAGAAATCCTTTTTACATAATGAGAAACATAATAACTGGCGCCTTATCATGACAATTTTAGCGTAAAATTATAATTTTATAATTTTATCAACTTTAATTTCACACCAATGTATTTTATTTCATTCTATTAATTTTTCATTTTAACATGTTAACGATAAAACAATTACATGGGTAATTTTCTAAAAGTTTTGTTATATCGGATTCTAACAAAATATGAAAAAAAATATAATATAAGTAAATTTTAAGTCAGAAAAATTGAATAATGAAATTTGTCCCTGAATATCAGATAAAAAAACAAAGCTAAAAAATAAGTCTTCATTTTCGACCAAAAAAAAACATGAATACTACATATCAATTTCATTTAAGTGGAAAGCAGTTTCTCAAAATAATTAAACAGAAATATGGCTAATAATAATATTATTCAGTTTATTTATATTTATACATTAATTTTTCCATCATTATAATGATATGACAGCTGTTTTATGATTATATTAACTGCATTCCTGAGCTATTGGCCATTTTTTATCATTCAATTGACTTATACAGTAAAAATTTTATTAACTTGGTATAAATTGTTTTAAAGCAGTAGTCATCGGTGTTGCTATATAATAAGTACTTACGTGAGTAAATCTATGAATAGTTATAATTAGTGTGTTTCAAATATTATGTCAGGATTAAAATTATATTTTGTTTATTTAATAAAAAAGCGAAAAAAAAATTTGGGGAAATAAAAAAATACATTTTATTACTTTTTTTCATTAAAAAATGACAGATTTCGCCAGTAATGCTAATTTACCATCTTAAAGTCTACCACAGCGTATTG